ATTAGGTAGATTGTATTGTTGTTGACATTTAAAGTTTTCAATATTATGTGAGTAAATAATGAAGTTTATGTGTTAAATATGTAAATTGAAAAGTTCTTAGTGTTGTGCATGTAAATACCTCTTTAAAGAATTTTTTTTTTAATTGAAAAGGGATTTATTCCAAAGAAAAAAAAAGATACAAGCGAGCCGAATAAAGAACCAAGCCAAAATTACAATTCAAGAACCATAATATATGTTTTAATTTTTAGATATTGAAATTGGCAAGCAAAATCTAGATGGATTTATTGAAATTACCCAAGTATGTATGGAGAAATATGCATTTTAACAAGCTAAAGGGAATCATGATCTCCAAATTCCTATTACGAGAAATAATTAGAAAAAATAAATTTTATATGAATGGTTCTGAAATATATACTTAGAAAAGTAATTACCTTGCAATTACTTTATGGAGCAGACTTTTATGAACCAACTTTATGGAAAACCCGTCCATCTCCAGACACTCGCCCATATACACGATATAAGCCTGACAAAATTATTCGTAAATAATCGATGTTAATTAGCATTAATGGCTAATTAACTAACAATAAAAGTAACTAATTTCATGCAAGTTTACCTTCTTGCAGAGTGGTCTCCGTTAATGGCTTTGAAGAGAAAAGCATGGCTTTTAAATTAGTTAGCCGATAATGAAATAATTATTAGTAATTATTCATTAGGATTGCCTTTGATCATTAGCAAGTAATCAACTTAGAAGATCTTTTAATCTTCCTAATTGGACTGTTCCTATTTTTAAAGAACATGAATGAGTTGTTCCGTAAAATGTTTGTTTGTGTTGATTTATTTGTTAAATGCAGTGGCGTAAACATAATTTTTGAAGCATTTAAGTTGATGAAAGTTAGTATAGTTAAGTGGAACGAAATCCTATTTTGAGAAAGCATAAGTTAATTCAAAATAGGATTATTCATCCTACTCCATTTATTTCATTTTTTGATAGATAATAAGTAAATAAGGATTTTTTATTTTATGGAAACCATTAAGTAAAATTTTTGAAGCATTTTAGTTGATGAAAGTTAGTAGAGTTAAGTGGAACGAAATCCTATTTTGAACAAGCATAAGTTAATTCAAAATAGTATTATTCATCCTACTCCATTTATTTCATTTTTTGATAGATAATAAGTAAATAAAATAAGGCTTTTTTTTTATGGAAACCATTAAGTAATTTACATTAGAAGAAAGATAAATTTTTAATTTTCAATTTAATTTTGTCTAGTTATATTTGGATAGATCTTAGCAGATTAGTGATACACATACTCAATAGAATATTATAGTTTGAAAATGAGGATAGATAGTTGGGCAGAGCTCCACTCAGGTAGGTTTGCCTATTTAACAGCTTATATTAGTTATAATTATTAATTTTCTAATATTTAAATTATATTAAAGAAATTATTATTATACAAGCATGCACAATTTTGGTTATTATGAGTCTGCGTAATAATTATTGTACTAGTTAATCTTTTTTCTATTAAAATACTTTCTACGTTATTTCGTATAATGTTCCCAAAATATTATTATAATTGGGTGAACGAAGTCAAAAAAAAGTTTATTTTGTTACTATCAATACAATTTTAAAAAATGATGGGTAAGAAATATAATTTTATTTAAAAAATCAACTTGTATTTACGAAAATAAATATTTTGATTTATAAAAAATATATAAGAATTAGTTATGTTAATAATATATAAATTCCAGAATATTTTTTTTTCCATACATTTTTTTTGGATTAAAGAATAAACTCTAGTTACATTTAAAAGAAGTTATGTATAATGTTTTAATTTAGGAATTTAGCAAATTTAATATTTATGAAAACTAATAATTTGAACATATTTTCACCACGTATCAATATATGTTAATTTGTTTGGAATCCTTATTAAGGACATTTTTAAAGTTTTATTATTTACTTTTTAATGCATTATAAATTAGAAAAAATTACGAATTTTAGAGTATAATTAAAATTTGACAAATAAAACAGAATTAAGGCTTCAATTTAAAATTGACTTTATCATAGTTATATAGAGATTTTCAATATTTAATTTACTTGTTCTGTTATGGTTATTAAAGTGTTAACTCAAATCATGCCTTGTATATATTTTTTAAGATATTCAACTTGCATACGATGATGAAAATTTTGGAATCTTTAACGAATTTATCAAAAATTGTGTCTCAGAGCTATTAGATATACAAATTGATCATAATATAATAATGTATAATTTTAAAAAAATTGTCATACTCCGTGGTTAATATTGAGAAATAATGAATCACGATATCATTAATAGTGAATAAAATTATTGTTAGTAAAAATATTACACTCATGATTAAAAGGTTAATTTTTGTTAATAATAGTGAGCAATATTAATATCAATCATAATATTAGTATCATGATCAATAGGGATAATTTTGTTCAAAAACCATTGAGATATGATTTAAGACTTGTATTTGTGGGTATAAATCTTGATAAGACATAGGTAGTTATTAAATAACTTTTCTTATGTTGATAGTATGTCTCGATTATTGCTGTATTTCAATGGAGAGTTACAAATTTCGGCCGAATTCACACCAAGTTATATTGGCGGGACGATTAGACCACTCCTGATCGATGATAATATTTCCCTTGAAATGTTAAAAAGAAGAATTATGCGTGCACTTAGAATAAATTCTACAACAGCCACTATTAACCTCACATGTTGTCTTCGAAATAATGGTGGATTTTGTGCGATTCATGTCACCGATGATGAGGTCTGTGAGTACATGTTGATGGAGGCTAGATCACAAGCTGTTGTTGTTTATGTGGAGATTGAGCAAATTTCACCTATCGAGGTTGCTACACCACCGGTTCAAGCTTACATGTGCGTATCAACCATTGTATTTCATGACAGTTTGACTTAACTTGTCCTTACACCTAACTTAACTTTTATGTGTTAGGCCCACTATCACATCTGAAACCTTTATGACTAGTGTTAGAGATGTTTCTAGAAATGTTGAAGATGACTTAGATGGTTGTCCAATTTTACGGGAGCAACCTAGTAATTCAATAGGGCAGCTTCCAAGAGTTCGACCTAGACAAAGTGAAGGGGAACATTCATATTACGACACCTCTAATTATACAGTAGCAGGAGATATCAACCCCTCAATGCCTTTCATGGAGCGTAATTCAGAAAATGAAGATGAAGGATATGAAACGATGAATAGCGATAGTACTAATTCATCAAATGATGATAGCCCGATATTGGACTCCCACATACCGATGGAACAATTTACCAATACGGATTGTAATGGAGAAGAGTTCATTGCAGAACACGCAACACAAAATCGTGATGGGATTGATGGCATGAACATGAATAATGATTTTGTCGAAACAGTCCGGACAACTCAACAGTGGGATGATGATGAAAATTTTGATGCTCCTTGTTTTAGCACTGTTCCATCCTTACAAACAACAACTCCAGTAGAGTTATATGAAGGTATGATATTTCATACAAAAGTAGATTTACAAGTTGCAGTTAATGCTTGGTCGATACTGCATAATGTTCAATTTATAAATTCGACATCCAACAAAAGTCGATTGAGTGTCATTTGTGCTCATCATCAAGCTCCTGAACGTCCCTGCCTTTGGCGTTTACATGCTGCACGAAGTAAAAGATTAGGCGGGTTATGGAAAATATCGACATGTGGACCTCCACATACATGCACTCACCCAATTTTGGCTAGTGGACATCATAATTGCACCTCAAAATTTATATGCAGACAAATAATTCCTCTAATTAAAAAACAATTAGACATGAAGCCAAAGGAGATTATAGCTAGAATGGAATCAAAGTATGACATTAAGATATCATATATGAAGGCATGGGACGCACGTAGAAAAGCTATTGAAGCCACTTTTGGTAGCTATGAGCAATCTTATTACTCTATATTTTGTTTTATGGAAGCCTTAAGGTTATCCCAACCAGGCACTGTATATAATATTCATGTCGTACCTCCTGCACGCTTCAAGGCACTTTTTTGGGCTTTCGGTCCTTCTATAGATGGGTGGCAACATTGTAGACCGGTGCTTAGCATGGATGGGACATTCTTGCTTGGGAAGTATCGAGGGACGCTCCTAGCAGCAGTAGGCATTGATGGAAATGGTGGGTTGTTTCCACTAGCTTTTGCAGTGGTGGAATCGGAGAGCAATGAATCATGGATGTGGTTCCTGCAAAAGCTACAAGAACTTTTACCAACGGTTGCTAATCGACAGAAGTTGTGTATTGTTTCGGATAAGCACCCAGGTTTAGTGCGCGGGTGTAGGGAAGTATTTCCTAATGTTGTTCATAGGCACTGCCTGCGGCAATTACGTGAAAATTTTAAAAAGATGGTCCGTTGTTTGGGAACTCCCGATAGTAAGGGCTTGAGTAACAAAATGTATTTTGCCGGAAATACTGATGAGTACGCATATTTCAATCGAATGATGGATGAAATTAAAATGACAAAGCCGGAGGCATTCGAATGGTTGGTCCAACGTGATGTTGCTAAATGGACCCTATTATTTGATGAAGGCTGTCGGTATGGTATAATGACTACAAATGCATCTGAATGTTTTAACGGAGTGCTTAAACGAGCTCGAGGATTGCCGATTCAAGGATTAGTAATGTCAATTTACTATAATCTTGTAGCATTATTCTTAAGAAGATCATCTGAATCTGGAAAGTGGGTTGAGGCAGCACAATCAAAGTTTGTTCCACGCACCATGCTAGTCATACAAAGAGCTGAACGTGATGCTCGAAGATGTCCCGAACCAGTCATGATTAACAGAAACGAATTTGAAGTTATTGATTCATCTGGTCGTGCAAACAAGGTCGAGATAATCAATACATCAACCTGTTTGTGCACGTGCTTGAAACCACAAATTTTCCATGTGCCTTGTGTTCATGTCGTTACAGTTGCTGGTTATAGGCGATGGGACCATAATGCTTTCGTATCACCAATATTTTTGGTTGAGGAGTATTTTGCAACGTACTCCAAACAATTCCATGTCTTCCCCCCGAAAGATATATGGCCCACCTTTACTGAAGAACAGGGAATAATACCTTTGATGGCACCAAGTTTTCGTCGCCGTGCAGGGCGACCACGGTTGAATAGGTTCCGTAACACGATGGATGAAGCGCCGAGTAGATCAAACAAAGCTTGTGGTTTTTGCAAACAAATAGGTCACAATAGATCAACTTGTCCAAACAATCCTTCATCATCAAGGTAATCTAGTTTTGCACCTTATAAATTTGCTTCTAAATGAATATGCGTTGTAATTTTATGATGTGTATCTAACTTCTTTTTAATAGGTATGGCCGACCGAACTAGACGTGCTCGTTCAGGTCGACGCACATCGCATCGTACTACTGCAGAAAATGTCGCAGTGCAGCTTAGTATAGCATCACTTGGAGATTCCCATAGAGCGCATGACCCAGAGCATGTACGTCAAATAAATTACTTTCAGTATTTATTACTTATGTCAAGCTAAAAGATCTAATTAATTATAAAATATTTGAACTTTTTAGGCATCTCCTCTAATAGCGTCAGCTCATCTGCGAATGGCTAGGGAATGGCCAATTGAGTGCCCACGGATGATATACGTGTTGAATAATCTGGGTTTTCAGAACCTCAGGCATTTGCAGTTTATTAGGTTGGATCACAACCTGATTCAGGCATTGGTGGAGAGGTGGTGCCCATTAACAAACACATTTCATTTTACAATTGGCGAGATGACTATCACATTGCAGGATGTCCAAATTTTACTGGGGCTTAGAATTGATGGACCAGCAGTGGTAGGCCCAAATGTTGTTGGGCAAGGACGTATATGGGCAACATGGCCGGATTGCTGTGACGAGTTACTTGGCATGCATCCCAGCAGGGAAACAGTCTATCATGACCCCAATGATGAGGAAGACGTTGCGACATTTAGGATGGGTTCTTCACAAATTGATTCTATGCTCCCACTGCGTTGGCTCCGCTGGACATTTTATAGAGAATCCTATGATGATTTGGCACCGGAGATTTTCCTACGACATGTTCGTGCATATATCCTATTCATGATAGGTTGTTTTCTAATTCCAGATACATCACGGATTCATGTTTCGCTACAATGGCTACCTCTACTAGTGGATGTTGACAGCTTCAGTAGGATGTCAATTGGTGGTGCTGTTCTTGCACACCTTTATAGGGAGCTGTGTTATGCCACAAGACCAACAAGGACATATATAGCGGGTTGTGTGGCACTACTGCAAGTTTGGTCCTGGGAACGATTGTATATTGGTAGACCAACACTCCGTGTCCCTCAGATTATTGACTTAGCCGGCCGTCCATTGGGTTGCAGGTTCGTAAGCTTTGGTCAATACAATATATTTTCTTATTTCATTACTAATGGTTCATACAAATATATAGGTGGGTTGAAGATAGGATATGTGAGCTACCTGCAGGCAATACGATGACGTATAGAGATGACTTCGATGGGTTGCGTATGAGTCAGGTAAAATAAAAATCTTATTATTTAAATAATATATTTTATCTCAAAAATTATAACAAAATTTCGGTGGCCAAATTTCTAGGTAAACATGACTCCATATACCCATACAGTACTAGCTGCTCTTCCATTACAGTATCATGATGGAGAAGAGATTTGGAGGGCACGAGTACCGCTTATTAGTTGGAAACGTGCAGAGTGGCACCTTCCAGACCGGGTTGTAAGACAGTTTTCAGGGCTACCAACCACAGAAATTGAACCCATGGATCAGTCATTCAGGCGCATTGATGGTAGGGGTCGAGCAGATCAAGATTGGACAGTCCAATACCGTGACTATCTCCAGATCTGGGAGGAGAGAAGGGCTTACGTGGTACCCATCATTCCAGTCACAGGTACAGGCAACCAAGAAGTTGGTGCTTATCTACGGTGGTATAGATCCTGGGCTTTTATTTACCTATTACAACCTCAAGTTGAGCCTCCAGAGACCTTCTTTCCTCAATCACCTGGCGAGAGAATAGTGGTACGTATTGAAATGTTACTTAAAATGTATTAATTTTTTTTACAAACCCCTTAAAAAAATTATATTTTTTTTAGGCGGATTACTATATACGATCATCTGCGATACTTGAGCCACTTGCCGGGGGTGGGGGCCAAAATGCTAGTTCATTGCAGATGGCTATAGATCAGGTTGCTGAATTGTCTGCTCGAGTTCAACCATGGGCGGAACCACATGGTTCCTAGGGGGGGCAATTGCCCCCCCTCAAAAAAAAAAAAATTTTTTAGAGGAGAGTAAAAAAAAAAATTATAGGAGAGTAAAAAAAATTTTTTTCCCCTCTAAAAAAATTATCTTTGCCCCCCTAAAAATCTTTTTTTGTCCACTTGCCTTTAAATATATATTATCTTCACATTTAATTATAATATTCTCTTTAGATTTTATGGACGGTTTAATTACATCTTTTTTTAATTTTTCTTGCTTAATTTTTTTTTAATTTTTTCGTAATATATAGATATATAATATTATTTTTGTGCTGTATTTGCCCCCCCTCAAAATTGAAGCTGGTTCCGCCCCTGAGTTCAACAATCTGTTTATATCGACTACACGACCTTCGATACATCGACAGAGGCAGAGCAACATAGGAGAGAATGTGCGGAGAGTTCTCATGGCCAGCAGCACAGTAGACGATCTGTTTCAGATGCTCCTTCTAGGTCGATGGGAAGTAGGCACCGACGGAATGTTGTGTCAGACTCGCATCGGCAATCCGTTCATACACCATCCATGGCAGCAGGTACTTCAGCCCCACATTGGAGCCCGCACGTTGGACAGTCCAGTCAGCAAGGACAAATTTATTATGACCCACAATACGACCAAACTAGTGGGCAATCATTATTTCCAATGGCCATTCCACACTGGATGTCATCAGTAGGATTACCTTCATCCCCAACGCAGCAGGACATTATGTTAACAGGAGGTTATCCGACGGAACCAAGTACACAACTTTCACACCAACGTGCCGAGGTTGAGCAGGAGGAGACTGAGGTTTCAGAGGAGCCACAGTTACAGAGGAGAAGACGAAGGGCACCAAATAGATTTACTCCAGGAAGTGGGGCACTGCCTAGGCATCGGTAGTATGAGATTTGAGATGTATTGTTGTGCTGATTTTTGGGATATGAATACCTGTTCTAAAATTTTTTTAATATTACGAAATCTTCTTATTATATTGCTCGACAACTCATATCTAGCAGTTAAAATTTTTTTTTTCACATACTCAATTTTTTTTCTTCATTGTTTTGTATTAAATAATAAAGAAAAAAACCTACAATTCTCACAGACATTTCCAAAAAATTTCATTTCAGCATCAGTAATAAAGAATGTACTCCAACAATTCCGAGGCTAGCAGCACTACAGAAATCAAAGAATGGATTACGGAGTGTACTATACGAGTGCGTCAAAGCTTATCTTATCCTGTCGATAACGACCTAGAGGCTAGAGTTTCATCAAATGCACTATTCAAGTGTATTATCCATACTTGGGATGAAGATGACGATTCCTTACTGTGGTACTTACATGATGATACGATGAAAGAGAAGGAATACAGAGGTAACCACGCACGTCGAGAGTTAGGCTGGAAATGTATACAAGAAGGCTTTCCCATATTTAAGCACCACCTTGTGGCAAAAGAATTCCTAAAAGGTAGAATTCTAGAACTTTCTCGAGATAAAAACGGTGACATTGAACCCGGTTTCGAAAGGTCTATGATGGATATAGATAACTATATTTTATACTCTGAATGGACGCCTCACCACGATAAGCACAAATTAGATTCTTATAAACAGCTGATGCAAACTTCAAAACACCCTAAAGCTAAGGATTTTCTTAATGGAGAAGATTGGCAGCAATTACAACAACAATTCCAGATCGACTTCAAATGTTGTCCTACACAAACACAGCTCCAAACTCGTGTACGATATCTTCTTAATAATATGCAGCAGTAACTTCAGCGTTACTCCTATCACCGTGTTTTAAAATTGTATTTCATGTTGTTATTTACTTTCTCGTTCGAACATAACTTTTAAATGTATTTCTTGTTGTTATGTTGATGATTAATATTCATGTTCGTGATTGTTGCTTAACTTGTAATTCGTTATATTATTTTCGCTCGTGTTCTTCAAATCTTTTATTTAAAAAAATTCATTTAATATTATTATCTTAATGACAAACTAAATTGCATATATTAAATATTCATCTAGAAATGTCATCATCATCAAGAAGCTTATCAATAAAGCGGTCACCATCAAGGGATTTCCTTCATATTATTCCAAGGAAGAAATTGATCTATGATGGTACTATTCGAGAAAAATTCTTATGTTGTCCTACATTAACCCAAATCCAAGCGCGTATGCGCATTGTACTAAGCCGCTCGTAATTATAATTTCTTTACCTTTCTTCTAATTCTAATGATATGTATTTCATTCTATTAATGAACTTATCATGTATTTTCAATAACTGGTGTTAATTAATTTACGCAATATTCCCATTCCAATCATTCTATGAAGAAAAAGATGCTGAATAAATATTTAGTCATCCAAATATTCAATACTTTGTTATAATTTGATATATATTTCATTTTAATATACCTTCTAAAATTAAATTGATGTTCATATTATGTTCATAACAATTTAAATAGAAATACACAGATTTTCTAATTTAATCCTATTTTTAAAATTAAAATTTAAATCATATTCACCTTATTTTTAAAATAACATTTTTAACTTATTTTAATAACTATTTCACTATTTTCTCTCAATTTTAATTAACTAAATTCCATAATTTACCTAACTTTAATATTTATTTTAAAGTATATTGATATTAAGCTACATTTGATTCGTAATTAATAACCATATTAACTATAATTATTTACTAAAAGTTAAAGGGAAATTAAAATATAATGAAAATAAATAATCCACTCCAAACTACAATATTTTTTTTTTGTGCAAAATATTTCCAATACAATAATCCATTCAAAATATTCCAATAAATATTCCGCTAAATATGGCTACAACTACGCCCCTACCGAAAATTTGGACTTACCTCTTTGCAAATAATTATGGGTTCAAAGCACTTATTGCATTATAATTCGATTTTTCTTTTTTTTTAATTCCAAAATATAATAATGACAAACAAATTTATTGTATTATAAAAAAAATTAAAAATATATTTCCCAACAATAACCTGCTGCCATTTGAAAATCAAAACATTAACATTGTGAAATCATATCGAATGCACGGAAATTCACGTAAGCCAATTGCGCATAACCTAAACATGAAGAACAATTCATAGAATGCGCTGAACAGTTCCACGCATTCTGAAATGCGCTGAACCGTTCGGCGCATTCTATGAATGCGCTGAACAGAATCACAGATTCTGGAGTACGCCAAACTATTTGGCGTCTTAGCTCTTTCTTAAATTATTCCAGGTTCACGCTATTTTCCATAAAAAAACTTTCGAACCCGCTCCTTCTGAAAATTTGGCGTAGAATTAATGCAAGGGAGAAAGGGGAGAGAGAGAGAGAGAGAGAGAGAGAGAGAGGTGGCCACGGTATGAGTAGGGCACTGTGGCATATTTAAAAGTAAGTTTGTACGTTAAATTGCTAATATGGAAGTCAAAATATGCAATGATAGTCAAAGGGTAGTCAAAAGGTGTCAAACAGAAAAATTGGGCTAGGTTAAGGGTAAAAAATAATAAGGCAAGCTCAATGCTAAGGTCTGTACACATTACATCACATATCCATAGCACAAGTCCCAAACATGCAAGAAATCACCCAACAACAAAAGACACAAAATACAACAAAGAGAGGAACTGAAAGACAAGTCCATAGAATGAAAATATAGAAGACAATAAAAAAGTTCAACCAATCCTAGGTACATGAAATCTATAATCTAGAACAATAATGACAAGTAAGAAGCACTACATCACTTATTGGTTAAATATTCAAATTTTTATTTTTAATAGGTGTATATATATATATATATATATGAATAGATTGTTCTCCTCCCATGAATATAATCATCACTCCAAAATTTATGTTTGCATACTTTGTCTTTAAATTGAATATAGCATCATTGATTGTGATAACATGAAAAATTGTTGTGGATAAAAATTCATCAATTTACATAATAATTTAGCAAAACATCAAGGATATGGTAAAAAAACGATGAATGGGTGATACATATAAGCTCACTTAAAATTCTAGCTTTGCCCATGGATTTCACCAATTAGAACCATCATATACACCAAATATCATCAACCACCCATGCACTTAAATACAAACCATTGGAAGTCTCTATGCATTGAACTAGCAACTATCTTCACATGCAATTGAAACAAACCATTGTAATAAATTTTATGCACTTGATTGATAATCTAATTATATTAAAAAACCTTAAAATAATGGAATCAATTAGTTTTACATAAGCTAAAGATAATAAATAGTTTTGATCTTTTATTGCCCTCTCCCTCTCTCTCCCTACACCCTACCTTCCTCTACAAAAAACCATATTGCCACATCTATATCTCATCAAGAATAGGTCTCAACTTTCAAGCCTCCAAGTTCTCATTCATCTTCCTAATTTTTGGAATCCTCCATGTTAAATCTCCTTGCCTTCCAACCTGAACTCATTTCAAACCATTCTCTGGTTGGAACAAGAATAGACCAAACTTTATTTAGATTATAATCATTATATAAATACAGCAAACATAAATTATACTTAAATTGCACAAAAAACAGATATATTGTTTTTTATAATTTTTTATAACTGAACTACGCCACCAATAAAAATTTTTAAGACGGAAGGTAAATGGATGAAAGTTAATAAACACAAGGTTAAAAATATCTGCATACCTATAAACATACTGAAAACAACCAAGTATTCTTAATTCATCATATGTTATCTGTCCCCCAAGAACTTTCAAAGCATCTGGCGCATGAGTGCAAATTATGCATTCATCATATTCTTCTGAAAGGTCTGATGCCAGAACGGAGCAACCTGTGATAAAAAGTTGGAATCAATTTCATTCGCTTTGGACTTCAAATAAGCAAAATCCACGATAAAAAGCGGGTGCAATTTAGTTTAAAATAAACAGTCATGCATATTTTAAAATAAAAAAAAATTAAAAATGGATATATTTGATCAATTACAACTATTATCAACTATTATGAGGCATCAAACCTCAAATTTCCCTATCTAAAAGGTATGCTAAATCTTCTAGTCAATTCCGAAAAAAAATTTTAAATTTTTCATAAACAAGCACACTAAAGCAAGATGTAGCACTGCCACGGAAAATATAGAAAGAATTATGTGGGATATATGACCTACCGTTATCAGTACCACATACCAATTGTACTGCACATCCCAATTTAATTTGACAACATCTAGCCTCCAGTTGTTCTCTTAACTGAAAACTTATTAGTTTCAGATTTCTTGTGAAAGACTGACATATAAAAGACAGAAATCCTAGAAATGAATTACAAACAGTGAGAACAAGCTAAAGTTAAACCGTATAAATTACCTTATTGACATAGTAATGAGAACGGTGCTTGATTGTGAGCCATTGAGGTCGATTGAATAGCTGAAATGAAAATACAGAGAGAAAACCAGTAGTGGGATAGCACATAATGCTTGCTAAAATGATCACACAAGATGACTTGCTAAACTGTTTTCGCAACAAGAAATATGGTTTGCATGGAAATTTCCAGCAGACTATTTAATGGTGGATTCATCAATTTAACTTTTCACAAGAGTAAAATTATTCCAAATTTATCTGTTATATTTTTTCTTGGCAAAATTTTATGTCGGAAAAAAAGTCTATTTTTTACAGAACTTTTCTATGTAAAATTTAATATTTCAAAGAATATATGAGTTCTGAAACAATCTCATTAATTAATAGAACCACAAAATAAAATTTCAATTTAGGATTTTTTAACAATATTTTGTTATTTTATGAGGAAGTTTTCACAACAACATCAAGCCTTTATACCACTATATGAGGTCAGTTACATGAATCCTCTTACTCGATGGTGTCCTATTAAGGTTCAAATTCTCATTTAAATCTAATAAAGAAAGGTCATTTCTAATTTTTTTCAAAACCAAATCTTTTTAAGTCTATCTGATGTAGAACTACATGAACATGTGATACTATTAACTTTGAAATTACACGCTTATGAATGAGCAGCAGAAATTATTCAACTTCCTATTGTTTAAACAAAAAATTGGAAACAATAAGGCAAATGATTAAGCTTAGGCAATCGAATACAAGACAATGTTAGGAGCACAAAATAATCATATCAAATCATATCATGCTAATGTGCGATTTCAAAGAGAATCCCTAACTTAACAATTAGAATAGTAACTATGAAAGATTCACCCACTCACACTCACACTCTCAATACGGTTAAAGCGGATAAGTCTTCATAACTAAACAATGCCATGATTGAGGAAAAGTTGAAGATATAGGGTTAGGGAAAGAGTTTACCGTTCTCGTGTTCTTGATATTTGTTCCTTCGTTTCTCAAATCGGCCGTCGAGTTGTTGGGATTTCTCCTTGCACCAAACAAGCCTTGATAATAAGTCAGGCATTGTGATGGAGGTAAGGGATGGGATGTAGCTTGCCAAGGGAGGAGAGCTCTCGTCTTCCTTCCTAAAAAGAAAGTACAAGTTAGGGCGAACATTTTAGGAGGAAGGAGTGAGGATAAGGCCATCATCCAAGGGAGGGAAGAAGTGTGATTTGTAAGTTTAGATTTTGTGTATATATGGTAGTGGAGACAACAATTAGGAAATCTAGAATTAATTTCAGCAATTAGCAAAATCTGGAATTAATTTGGGAGGGATTGATAAGGAGAGAATTAATTGGATGGAGCAAAAGGGGAAAGAGGGGAGAGAGGGGGGAAGCGGCTAGGGTGAGTGGGAGAGTTGAATTGGGGAATTGAGAGGCTTGCCAAACATAGAATATTATTTAAGGAGGGATTATGGCAAATATCTATTTAATTTAAATTGGCATGATTGGGGTGGGGGGCTTTCCTGAGATAATCCATCTTATATAGGAAAGGAATTTCAAATTCAAATAAATTAAAATCTGAATTTTAAATCTTCTTAATTTAAGATGCATCAAATATGGAAAAGATCAATTTCTTGATTTTAAATTTTGGGTACAAGGGAAGGTTAGGGAAAGAGAAGGGGGGGGGGGGGGGTCCGGCGGCTAGCTAGGGAAAAGAGGGGGACAGTGGCTAAGGAAGAAAGCAAGCGCATTTGAGGTGGAGATGAACCACGACCCCGGACGCTTCCTGCGCCTGATGAGTAGTGCTTTACCCTCACAACGGGACTTCCGATTCTCACAAGAGCTCACAACTCTCCAAGAAAACAAAATGCATAATTTTTCTTTTCATTATAGTCATCATCCTCTCCAAAGAGGTGGAGAAGCCTATAACTAACCAAAATAAAAATATAAGTCTAATGACAAAAGTGCCCCTGGGGTCACATAAGCCTACTCCGTCAAGTGAGGGTAAAAGCGAAAAAGATACATAAATAAATCAAATACAACTAAAAGTTCAAAAATAAAGTGGTCCAATTATGGTCGTAGATCTTCTGCCCCTTCTCTAATAAACTTTTTAAGTCGGATGTCTTCATCATTACCTCTAACTTTCTTAACATAAGCCAAATTTAATACATGTACTCTCTGAAGTTTTCAGTTGGAGAATAATATGCGATAGCAGATGTGCTCCAATGTTAAAACAACAAAATTGCCTTAATAAGAAGAACTAGTCGCCCAAGTTCCCCAATATCAACTCTTTTTCCTGGACGTGAAGAGCTTGCCTTTCTATCTCAAAGCCAACCAACTATGATGTCGCCCTCTAGTTTCGTTGATGACCTTTATGCTCAATCACCATTGGCAAACCGCCAATGTGCAAACAACCTTTTAAATTGTGTTCATTGAGTGTAAGCCTTAAAATAAGATTTTTGAATTCAGAATCTAAATATTCATAATTTCACTAACTACAAGTTAGAGTTACTAACTACATTTCTGATAAAATTAATATTTCTACAATTTTATATTTTATGAAATATTTTCTCTATTATGCCTGTGAGTGTGTAATGTTTTCACATTTCAGCATAAAGATTGATATTTGTTATCTCCATGGTTGGATAAATAATAAGTTCACACCCAATGGATATTGACTCACAAATATTTTATGGAATGTGAGAAGTTTATATCTTTTGTATATAACAACCAATATTTGTAGGCGTGCTCATAAGGTGCCCATGTTCTAACATTTATACTAGTAATACTTAACACCTGATGATGGTGCATGTTAATCTTTAAATAATAATTTAAGTAAAATTATTGAAATAATGTATCACCTGAAATAAGAACCTCAAAGTGGCACAAGCTTATATACATATCAAAAAATCTCAAAATAGTTCTCAAATTATTCATGTATGGCATATGGCCAATTTAGTCCTTGAGTATCACGTTGCCCAAATTTAGCCCTTCAACTGTACAAAATTAATCCAAAATAGCCCCTTATATTGTAATTGTGACATAAATTAATCTCAATTTAGTCCCTCAGCTTTACAAAATTGGTCTTAATTTAATCCCAAATGGGCCATTTTGGATCAATTAGCATAGTCAAGGGACTAAATTAGATAGCCTGGGACTAAAATAGCCATATATGAATAGTTGGGGGCTATTTTGAAATATACATATATGTATATGCTTGTTTGTGACGAATAAATTAGATATCAAACCACGGCATTTGATGTTTTAGCATACAATGTGAGGTTCCTAGTGAACAAATTATGGACGAGTTTTCAAACAAAAATGTTTGCCGCCTTAATGACATTTTGCATACTAAATAATAATTGTACTAAGATGCAATGATTATTAATTGTTTGTGATAGTTATAATGTTGAGGACAAATTTAACTAGATTGTGAATAAGAAATGTTTCAATTAGTTTATAGGGCTTATGAGAGAGACATCCTCAAAACTAAAATGTGGCTAATTTGACAGGATTAAAATGTTGAAGTCTATACTACCTCACAAACCAAAAATTGATTGTATAACTGCATAATGCATTAAAAAGAATGAGATAAATGAAAAGGAGCTCAAAAGCTTTCATTTTGCTCAATACAAACACATACAACTAGTTAAAATTACAAAGAAGTGCCCTAAAAGAGAATCAACTAGTTGTTAATCATCCTTGACTTGAGAAGAACTTTGATTTAGCAGTTCTAGAAGGTTATAAATTTATGATGTAACATAGTTGCAATCTACAAGAATGTTACAGTAATTCCAGCAATGAAACACTAAGACGGCAACACAATTCAAACTATAATTCTATAACATACAAAATTTAAACATTAATTTAGTTAAATGCTTATTGCAAGCTTAATTGTTTTATTTTTCCAAACATAATCAAACGGTGAAGTTAAATCATCCGATAGAATCATGTTTAATTCAAATATTTAAACAGAATCAACAAACTTTCTTACCTCCAACCCCACCCCAACTTCCATGTAGCTTAACCCAGTTTTCTTCCAGTCTTGAACTTAGTGAAATGTTCCACACACTAATAAACTCTGGTTCAAACACATCCCTTCAAACTTTGGAATCCCGCCTATATACTAGCCTGATATCATCCACGGTGTCTGCCTCTAGTTGAGAGACAAGCTACATGAAAAGATAATCTGTAGGGCTTTATACAAATTGCTAAATAGTTCCACTAGTATTTTTTTTTTTTTGTATGTTCATTATTACTTTTTTTTTAATTCACACATCTTATTTTCTCTATAGTTACATCGATGAATCACAGATTCAGTAAATAGAATAATGTTATCGAAGCATAGCTGAGATCGTTGGAGTAAATATGCCACTTCCTATTAGATACCCAAGACAATGTGATACATGTCGTTCAAAGCGTTTAAAAGAGTTTCAACCTCCCTCACCTCCTCACCAACAATCGCTTGTCCCTCACGACCTGCTGCATTCCGCCTTACCTCGCCTCAGCCTCGATAGCTCACTTTCTCTCGTATTCTCCGTTCTAAGCCCTCGCTCACATGCCCAAGCCTCGACGTCTTCCCGCGCCTGGGCAATAACATTGATCGAGTGTTTCTATCTGGCACTCGGCTTGCACATGCCTTGCGTCATTGAACCTGACTGCATCAAGCTCTACATTCACGACCGGCGATCTGAAAAGCCAACCAAACGCCCTGTGTAAACCACAGGCATACAACGGGCTTGTCCACCAACTCCCTCGTCACAAACCCAGGTGAACGGTTGAAGTACCATCGAACCCCAACCCCGGTAGATATCGTCCCGCTTGATGCCTCTTCTTCGCAGGAAGTATATTCTTTTTTCACCGCCGGACGACGTATCGCGCTCCGTTAGGGTTCCACTTATTTCGGGTGCGTTCGAGATATATATATATATATATATATTTGTTTATTTACTTAATATTGAGAGATTGTTTGATAGAAATTTATTCAAAATTTATGCTAAAGGCCAAATTATATAAATAACTAAAACAAATCCTATGCTTTCTTAAATTCCATTTTCCCTCTAATTAATGAATCTTGTAAATACATGGTTAAACAAATTTATAACATTTCATCGAATAGATATGTTGTCTGTCTTCGCTTCTGTAGGTGCATCGTGACTTGTTTATTTCTCACTGTCAAAAGTTTATCAGATTTAGAGCTCCTATTGTCACTTCTTGATTACTTTTTCATTGAGGGTTTTTAGGGAATTTGCAATCCTATATTATTCGTCTATTTGCAGCTACCACGATGAACGGCAAATGGAAACATTTTTTCGTGTTTTACTTCGGTTTTAAATAGCAATGTTGTGAAAATCAGGTCGGACAATGAATTGGAAAAAAGAGAGGTTCACGGTTCAATGGTTCGATCGGGGTAGAACCAGATGACATAATGAATATTAATTTTACTTAAATATAACATAATTTACATAATAATGATGAAATCATATAAAAATATGACTATGAAATAATAATTATTTTAATTGAAGACATAAAACATTAAATAAAAAAAATAATAGTTATCATTCAATTGTTCATATCGTTTTACACAAAAAACACAAAACTCAAAACAGTCATGAAGATTATAATAAGCATCCCCTAAATTTGTGTAATCAAATGATGGAACTACAAATCCATCTTCACCAAAAACTCTCACCCCAAATACTTCAACATTCACACATGGAAGTATGTTTTCTCCATCACTAATATTAGCCAAGGCATCTTCATCGCCTAAAGGAAGTAAACTTTTGAGTATTTAGTGATCTTCAACCTACAAATTTTAAAATCTCTTGCATGATCTATATTCATTGCATCATTCCAATTACATTAGGAGACCTAAACCCTAATTTGCCCTACTTCAAATTATTAGTAGAGTTTATGATTACACTATCATGTTAGCTTCAAGTTGGACATTTAATTGAATCAATTAAAAAATAACCAAAGATGCAATTTAAGCAAAGTTTTGGTAAACTAAAGTTCTAGGCCACTACTATGAAATATATAGCATTTTAAACTTAAGAATTTATTATGCATATAGCACCAAACGACACAGCTTGCAGCTCCAGGTTCTCGCACAGGTGGTATAGTCATCCCGTGGCTCCCGAGTCCCTCACAGGTTGACCAAATCAGCTAATTCATTATTATCACATTGCATTGGAAGATGAATGCATACCTATTTAGCCTCTATTGTGTGTTTGGTGTTGAATAGTCATGACACCATAGTGAAAAAAGAATCCTTGTTCATATGTTGTTAAATCATTTCATGTTTGATTTCACTACAATTTATTGAGTTCTTTAGCAGGTTTTGTGTAGTCAGGTGAGCTTTTGTGCTCATAGTTTCCTTCAAATGTTTCGGGAAAACATAAGGCCCCAAGTAAATAGATAGAGGGGTTGATAAGGGCAAGGAGCGAACGATGGGTAAGTTATGTTTCAACATATTTATTTCAAGTCTAAAAGCTATATAGTTTAAAAAAAAAATCATGTTTCAAGACTATTCTACATGATTCCTTTTTGAGTAAAATAAAATGAAAATTGTTATGTTTGGTGTAAGTTTAATTATTTAGATGAAAATTTAGATGGCTCTATTTTATTAAGGTGTTGATATATTCATGATTTAAATTTTCAATTAGATCTTGGGACATGACACGTGGGCTTTGTATGTTAGGATTATGTTGTCCATGAAAGGTGGAAGACCTTAGCTGAGAAAAGCCCCAAAAAAGAGCAGATCTTCTTGGGGCAAGTGCCCCTTATGGCAAAGGTTTGTTAAGGTGAGCCCTCCAGACAAAACTCGCTGGGAACAAGCACAACATTGATCCGATCCTCCAAAGGCAAACTCATATACTGTGAGCTCCACTGCAACAAACACCTAATTGCTCATTGCCTCAGACAAGTTTTACTTTAAGTGCACACTACTTCAAGCCAATGTCCCTCCTAATTGCATCACTTAGGCATGAACATTTTTAAATATCTACAAGTGGTTTGCATAAGCATGTATAGAAATACAATACCAATTAGAAAGTTCGTGTCGTCAAAGTAAGAAACTAAGCCAGCTAATGAAGCCGCTCATGATGATGAAAAAAATAATATTTTAATAATGCTATGATGCTGAAGACAAACACCTTATGGTGGTTTAGATGGTTGAACATGCACTAGATCAAACTTCGGTTTCAAAAACTAATTGATCAATTAGTGATGTGAAGCTATTAGGAGTTATGATCAAAATTAAAAAGAGAATTGTTAAAGTTTGCTTTTATAAATTTATGTGGATCATGCAAGATAGAGTTAAGATTTAGAAACGTTAACTTTGCTTAGGCCAAAGAGTTGCAAAAGAGATTAACAAAAACTATTCAATCCAAGTTCTAGGAGAATTTAATATGCAAAGTACAATAACAAAAACCAACGTTTAGCAACGAGAATTTCACCTCGGGGCCATCTAACTTAAATATTGGTAGGCTTTTGGCGGAGATAGAAGATCCAAGCGATGAAGGATGTTACCACTAGAGAGAGGGCGCCGAAGAACTTCGTCGGAGGAAAAGTAGCCGGTGGGGATGGACGTCGTAGGTGACCGTTGAGGCTCCAAGTGTGCTTTGAAAGTTGTCGGTCGTAGATGCTTGCAAGGATTGGCACAACTCTCTCCAAGTACTCTTCCACGGTGGCTTCGTCTTCAAATCCGACGTCGAAGCAAGGAGACCTTAGGACGTGATACTTCCGTCGGCGTTGAATACAAGACCCCACTCAAATTCAGGATCCGACATTCAACATTGAAGTGGGGAAGGAAGAAAACAAGAGAGACTTCTTCAATGATGCTGTAGCGAAAATAATCCAGCAGAAATTGCTGGACAGCAATTCAATCTTTGCAAACAGCAACTATCGGGTCTCTTGTTGCTGGAGCCGTGGCAGGGGAAGTGGGAAATCTTTGGCTGCAGCACTAGTACGTGGAAGGCTCTATGTGGAGGACTTGTGGGCAGGATTTGGTGGAGAAAAACCCATGCAGGGAGCAAGTGGTAAGTGCAGTAACTCTCGGCAGCAACTTGGAGAGCAGGAAATTTTGCACGGGATCAGTTCTAATCGGAAATTGGAGAAATAAAACCCAGCAAGAAGGCAAGGGGAGGGACGGCTGGATGGTGGCTAGGTTTTAGAATGATTTCCAATTTTGTGGGGCTGAAATTGGTAAGCATAAATTGAGTGGATTATTGGGGATTTGGCTCAGGAAAATGACGTGAATAGTTTCCAAAAGGGGAGGGAGTTTTAGAAAACTAATTTATTGCATATTCAAAAGAGGGGCCCGTGGATTTAATTAGAGCCTGAATGTAACTTTCAGATTTTAATCCAGTAAGGGAATTTGAAATTTGAATTCAAAACAACTGGGATTTTCATTAAATCTATTCCTAAATATAGGGAGTTATTTTAGGAAAGAAATAATGACAGAATTAAGGCAGGAAATTCGAAATTTCAAGGGGAAGGGGTGGCGGGATTTCACCAGGGAAGTGGATGGCCGGACTGAGGGAGGCGGCGGCCTGGCTGGGGCCGGTGGCTGGCATGGCCAGCGGCAAGGGGGGGCAGGGAAGGGAAATCGGCGGAATTGGGTAGGGAAAAATCTCTGGACCTGCTGCAGGGGAGGGGAAAGGGAAGAAGAAAGGGGTGAAGGGGATAAACCACGAGTCACGGACTCTTCCAATGACTGGTGGGTAATGCTTTTGCCCTCACTTGGGCTTTCTCTCTCACTTCTCTCTAGCTCTCATGCAAGACGAGTAAGAAGAAACACAAAAATCAAATTTTCATTCAATAATTCATTAGCCTATTACAAAGCATGAGACCCCTATAAATAGGTCTTCAAACATAAAGAAATAAAAGTACTCAAATGCCCCTTGGGCTACAATAAGACATAACTCCCCACAGGGGTAAAATGGGAAAACAGTAAAACAAGACAATAATAATAATAATAATACATAATGACATCTACAAGTAAAGGCGCTGAATCGTGGCCGTCGATCTGCGGTTTCGCCGGCGATAAACATGTCGGTAGCGTCTGTCGATGTCCTCATCAATTAGCTACATGATCGCCTTAATTAAATAAGATGCATGATATATAATTCTTATTTGAGCATATTAATTAGATTAGCGACAGTTTGGCACAAGCCACCAACTGCTCCATTGGATCCTACCAAGCATTGCTCAAGCTACTCTGAATATTCCAACAACTATAGGAAGTAAACCAAAGTACTCATAAAAGGTAACACAAAACACTCACATAGAGGAAGGTTCTAAAACTCAAACTGAATATCCAAGTAACAATGAAGTTAAAACCTTTTTGAGAAGGACGAAGCTCTAGCGAGTAAAGGCTGGTCATATTGGACGTAATACGATAAAGTGCAATATCAATGGAGTCTATTTTGTTGTTACCTACCGTAGGACCTCTATCCCCAAAGCGAAGGAAGAGGAGCAGGAATGAAAGGTTGTCCTCTCCTGGCCCATTAGTTTCGCAACTCTACCATGGTTGTTACTAATATTGCTAATGGGTATCCCCCATACCGAAAGATCATGGGGCTGGCCGTTAGGTCCAAAATTGTATGTCACTATTATGATCCTAAATCTCATTGGATCTCATGGGATAGGCAATAGGACATATGCTATTGGATAAAGCATAAATTGAATGACTCGAAAACAAAAAATCCTAACCATTTGTGACACATTGCAAGGCTTTATAGCAACATCAGAGAGAATAATGTGTTGTTGTTAAAATAGTTCATTAGTTTCTCACAACAACATAAGAGAGAATAATTTGTTGTTGTTACACTGATTCATTGCCATCACAAAAAAAAAAAAGTTTTCAGGCAGTAGACTTAGGTTTCGTTTCGGATGACTTTCTTACTCCTTTAA